TGCCAAACACAATAAAGTTCTGTATTTCTACTTTCAAAGAGTGTTCATTATGTATATTATGCCACCTGAAGAAAGGTGTGCATAAATCGATATCATGTGATACATCCTAAATGAACTTCCTATGCAAAACGAGAACATGAAACTATCAACTTACTTGAGCCTCTTCCCTCTGTCGCCTCTCACGGTCAGCCCTCTTCACCTCCACTTCTTTCCGCATGCGTTCATATTTTCTGCGATGTTCTTCAATTTTGTGGACATTGGGTTCAACCTGCAGGATCAAATTTCATAATTAAAAGCAAGCTCCTATAGCAACCTTAATCAGAGAAAAGCTTCATCTAAATTACCTTTTTAAGCGCCAAACCAATCTCTTCATCGTAGTCCAACTTTGATGCTGTATGAAGGTCACTTGCTGCCGCCTCCCATTGGCCCAACATTGCTCTTGCAAGTCCTCTCATTTTATATCCTTTTGCTGAGTCAGGGTTTATCTATTACATATAAATACATCTCTTCAGTTTGTTAAACCCATCTAAGTTTCAAACAAGACAATAAGCAAGTTTATCCCATTCTTCTCTAATCCAATTGAAACTTTGTGCAGTATAAACAGATTTAGGTATTGGAAGGAAAAGTTGCAAACTTGTAAAGCAGCATCAGCATCACGAATTGCAGCATTTGGTTTCTTCAGTTGAACAAAGACACCAGCTAAAAATCCAAAGATATCAGCATTTCATGAGAATGGCACACTGAATATAGCCAAGAAGGATTTCTCTTTAACAAGAGATGCAGGCAGGACGAAAATTGTAAGCACATAAAAAAGGCTTCAAATTTACCTCTAGTTGCATATAATATTGCTGAAGTTGGATTCAACATGATTGCTTCAGTTAGATGATACATGGCTTCATCCAATTTACCTGAAAGTTAGAATAGTTTATAGAAAACCACAATAGTTAAATTTCTAAAAAAATATTAACAATTACAAGTTAATCTTGCCTTCGGAGATTGCATTCACGGCTTTTATCTTTTCCAATTGTGCACCATCTCGGTTTTCCTCCGGAACCTCAACTGAAGGGTTTCCCATCTGTATTGAAAGAGACTGGGCATAATAAATTACCAAAATAGGAACCTACTGGTTTTTGTATCCAACCAAGATAAACATGATAAGCTTAAAACAATCTCCATAAACTCTTCTTCTCCCACTCACCTTTTGGGGAGGATCATTATCGGGCTCAACAGCATCTGTGTCATCCAACTCGATATCAGACTCAAAAATTTCATCATCATTTTCACTTTGGAAACTATGTTTCTCATCATCAAAATGTTTACTAGAGTCTGCCATGTCTACACCACTTTTCTCCTGCATAGGTCATATGGTTAGCAAGGTAAATTTCACAATACAAAATGGTAAAATCAGCAAGTAAATTTCACATACAACGTGGCAAAATCAGGATCCTAGAATTATTTTCTGAGAAATGATCATGGGTCTGTAACGATGTCTTCAAACATTGGAAATAACTAATGTTACTTTGTAGAGCTACCGAAGTCAGCTAGTCAAAGCACAACCTAACTATTTATAAGAAACAACATGTTTTCAAGAGGAACCCAACCAACACTTTCAAGTTACTATCCATTTTTAAGAGGACGAATCTGTATATTTTCTGAATGCACCATATAGGACGGACAACTGAATGAAGCCACCAGAAGAAGAAATAATAGGAAAATATGTTAAGCGAATGAAAACATGGCGGGTTAAATGTTGAAAGCATAACTGTAGACCCAAGATTGACCAGCTGAAGCATGAAGAGACACGCATATTGATTCCACAAGGCGTTAAAAGCAAAATAAGCCTATACCTGTTGCACTATCTAAATTGATAATAAAGGTAACATATTATAATCATCGACTTCAACTGATGCCCTCTAGGATGCCAAAAAGAAAACCACCAAACTTAATAGAATTTCAACATAATCATAAAACAAGTAGAAGTCAACAAATATTTAGAGCAAAAAAAAAAAGGGAGAGAGATTAATCTCTTAAACATAGAATTCTTGATTAGCCTGAAGTTTATTTAAAAAAAAAAACGATATTATCTTTATTCACAAGATTCCGCTCGCAACCAAGCAGGACTTCGTGAAATGCAACTGGTAGGTCACTTGACCTTGCTCATAATACATTTATGAATCCAAAAGCTATACTATAAGATAATCTAAAACACTTCAGCGCAACAAGATTGAAAACCCAACCAAAAAAAAAAAAAATTAACTAACCGTTTTCTCTCCCTGCGGAAGTCGGGCGCCCAACCTACAAACCAGAACAAAAAACCACTTAATATATATATATATATATGTGTGTGTGTGTGTGTGTGTAGATATATATATGTTGGATTCATATCTTAATCTGCAGCGAGATTACCTCTGGAGATAGTTTCTGAAGAAGGAAAGAGACGGGTCGTGTAGAATAGAAGGTTCAAGATTGCACCGATCTACAAAGACCTTTAGGTCCGCTATTTTAGTAGCATCCATAGATATACAATGCTTATCTCT